TTTTTTTTTTTTTTTTTTTTTTTTTTTTTTTGAGACAGGGTCTCTCTTTGTGGCCCAGGCTGGAGTGCAGTAGTGCAGTCTTGGCACACTGCAACCTCCACCTCCCGGGCTCAAGCAATCCTCCCACCTCAGCCTCCCAGGTGGCTGGGGCTACAGGTGCATAACACCATGCCTGGCTGATTAGGTTTTTTACAGTCCTGTCATGGGCCCTAAAATACTTAATTACCTGGGCATGGTGTTAGCTATGTTGTCTAGGCTGGTCTTCCTCAAGCAATCTGCTCACCTTGGCCTCCCAAAGTGCTGGGATTATAGACATGAACCACTATTCTAGGCTGTAGTTGTTAATACTTTCTTTTGCTAAATTGTGTCTGTAGATCATTTAGGGGAAGTCTGAGAAGACAGCTAGTAGAGATCATTATGTTTTTTTCAAAGACATTGCCAAAGTTAGGTCAGATAACCAATTTTTTGGTTACTGTGATTCAACCTTGGTTGACCGAGACACCTGAGATGGAAGCTTCTTTATCCTGTTACTGACCTGTAGGTTGTTTGGGCTCAGTTGCTGATGCTTATTTCCTTAGATGATCATACTTGCACCGTCCTTGGGTGATATCCTGTGAGTTGTCAAATGAACTTCGGTCCTGTTCAGAACCAAGCAGTTCCGTATTTAAAAATGAAAAGCTAACTGCAGATAGGTAAACTATATGTTTTTTTAACATCCTTTAATGGTTTTGTGTTTAGTTGGCGCTTCTGTGGATCCTTAACACATTGCTCTGACAGTAACCTTGTATGATGTTTTCCTTTACATCCAAAGCTCTCTTTTGTTCATTATCTTGTTTGATCCAGGCAGTAACTCTGCAAGTAGATGGCCCCATTATTATGGTGGAATGTACAGGATGATAGCATATTCTGGGAAGAGGAAGGAAGTGGATTCAGGCACTAGAACCAGTAAATCATGTGGTAGAGGGCTTCTCGTGTGAAAATCTGTTTTTCCCCCTCAATATCACAAAACTGGTCCATACTAACTTTTCAGAGTGTATTAGTTTCCTTAGAGTGAAATGTCATACTACTCTATTTCACTTTCCTCTTGATTAGAGCCTGAGGGTTTTTTAACGTTTTCTTCTTTAATCTTGTAGTATTGGTTCATTACTGTAAAGTTTTTTTTTTTTTTTTTTCCCTAGAAAACCAAGGTTATAGCAAAGTAAGTTGTATTCTCACAGGGTGAAGGAGACCTTCAGAAGTATACAATTCATCTATGCCTTTAAATTATCAACCATAAACACTGTAATTATGTGACAGATTCTCTGGACATCTGTTTTTTTATTATCACAGTCACTTTCCCAACAAAGTGTCACATAACAGCATTCTTTTGTTCCTTGGATCAACTGTTAATTAGTTTTCCCTCAATAGACCATATCTTCAGTGAAGTAGACAGAATACTCTGATCTCTCTCAGTATTTTCTAGTGCACGAATCCTCTGCTTCCTCTTGCCATTGGTCGTTTCACCTCAGAGGCATATCTAAGGAAACAAAATGCATTCAAACACAGTTATAATCAATTTCAAGTATGTGTTGTGGATGGATTAGGAAATAACTCATCTTTTTCTTTTTAACTCTTCCACTTTTAGACTAAAAGAATTTCTTTCTTTTGCATTGACAAATTTCTGTTACTCTTGTTCTGAAAAGCACATTTTTTAAAAAGGCTGAATTTATTTGGGCATTCGTAGGCATACTCTGATTTATCTTGAATATACTTTTGTCAGTTCTGTTTATAGTTTTTATTAATGATATTATTACAAGTAATAAAACTACATTTGCTTATTTTGGAAAATGCCCCATTTTGTTACTGTTTAAACATAGCCAAAATGAATTTCGAAGTATAATTTCCAGTATCTTTAGGAAGCAACACATTATTCAACTTCTGACCTCAAAATGGGACAAGTGAGACAGTGTTTGAAAAACATTTAGTAAAAACCCTGGCATATAGGAAGTGCACAATAAATGCGCTACAATTGTTACTACAAAGCTGATGCCTGTTCGTATGGTGGTAGTTATAGGATGCACAGCCATGTCTTTTATTCCGTTA